TAGCAGAAATTAATTCAGTAAATGTACCCACTAATTATAAAAAATTTTTACTTTACAGCAACTGACGTTGCTCTTCACCGAAAACAAAACAGTGTCACAAAGAAAGGTTGTAGTACGAAATATATAAAAAGCTAAGTGTAGCAGTTTGACATGAAATTCATAAACGATATACTGCTGACCATTTATCAACACCAAACGAGCAATGGTACACGGTTTATGATGGGGTAAAGTAAGCAAAAATTATCTATCTGTCGTTTTGTCAGTAAATATGCTTTTTTATCCACTCTGTTTAGCATGTGTACAGAGTTTGAAACCGTGCCTTACGTCTGCCAACATTTGAAAACTGCAACTATATAATTCTTTTCAGTCATTGTGACTGTCTTTTGGTGTATTTAAGTGTACTACAAAAAGTTAACAGAAAAGATAATACTGTAAAAAAATTTGTTGCTTAAAACTTCTGTAAACTTATAAATTGAAAGATTTTGAAAGAACTTTGAATATGCTGCTTAACTGAAAATGTGCTTCAGAAAAAACTGTCACTTGTTTGCTCTCAGCTACATATTATTTCAACTCTACAAAAAAATTACTTTTTGCTAACAGAAAATTGGAAGTTTAAGAAAAAAAGGTGTAAATCATAATATACTTTGAAACCAAAAATAAAAAGTTTTTAAAATCTTCTTTTTTAGACAATTGTAGGAGAAGCCACTTCAAAAAAAGCATTTTACAGCTACGGCTAAGGTTACCATATAAGCTGTAATGCAAAAAAGAATTCTAAAACTTGTTGTGATTTGACAATTTAATTAATAAATTATATTACATTGATTAGTGCACTTGTTGCAGAAATTGTAATCAATCAAGATTGATTCTTAAAACCAGAAAACATGTAGATGATGCATAAAAAAATGTTAATCTTTGCTTACATTTTTTAAAAATTATAACTTTATTCTAGCTTCAAAGACTACTCAATCTATCTTTCTCAAAGACAAAAAATTGATAAAGTTAATCTTTTAAATGCCTCTTATTACATTATTTTTTTAATGAAAAAAGCCGAAATTTTTTGAGATGGCCAGTCAGCAAAAGAAAGCTTTGAGTTTTGAGAAATATATGAAAAAAAATTTATTTTTGAACAATTTCAATTCATAGAAAGTGTTTGAAGTATTATGTTGTTCAGTGTTATTGTACAGTAGTAGGTCAGATGCTTTCAGTGCATTTTCAAATTTTTATTGATAACCTTTAAATTTACAGAGTACTGTGATAAAGTCGAAAAAAACAAAAACGAAATAAAATTAAAAAATAAAAGGTAGAACAAATAGGCTTTAGCAGAGGTGTAAAAAGTGGCAAACTGTCGTTGGTTTTTCATTATCCTCTATCCATTGAACGATCCTCGGCAGTTCAGTGTCCACCAGCTGCTTGCAAATTGGATCAAGGAAAGCATTTTTATGAGTCAATTGGTCACACAGTTTTTCTCCATACTTAAAATTTGATAAAATAGTATCAAATATAATTTTTTTTTCTTTATGTTATAAGTAGTTTTAGGTTTTTTTAAAAATTCTAACTTGAAAAGAAAAGTTGTATTTTATTTATTACATTCACTAATAAAGTTTGTAATTTATTTTTCTACGAAATATCATAGATAAGAACAGAGATCTGTTATAATTACTGTGACAAATTAAGGCTAACCTGTTCAATAGGACCTTCTTCGTTCTCCATAAATTGTTCAATACCAGAAACAAATTTGACGCAGAAATCACAGAGAAGTCCAGCCTTATTTTCGAAAGTACGTCTGAATGCCAACGTTGTGCATACCAAAGCCAAAAGAATAACAGTCTTCATCGTTTCTATCCTTTTTTTTTTTTACTTTTAACCTACAAAGCGAAGGGTTATTTGGTTAGATAAAAAAAAGAAATTATTTTCCATTAACTGCGATCAGTCAACTAAGTGATTCTAAGAAAATATTAAAATATTTAAAACTTTAGTAGGCTAAAATTAAAAACGAATGTTTAAACAACTCAAAAAAAAAGAAAAAAATATGGCGGATTTAGTAGTCTCAAGCATCTAGAACTAAACAGAAGTGAAGACAGTAAGCTAAGGGTGCATTCTTAAGTGGTGCAGAGAAGTGACGATAAGATCTGTGAAAATGGGTTTTTAAATAAAAACTATTGCTCTTTGATAGTACAAGAACAGTACTTTTAGAATTGCAAAACCAATAACAAAAAGGTTTACTACGTTTTTGGAAGCATTCATCTATAAACTATAATAATGTTCAAGAAACCGAATTCCAAAAGTAAATTATAATAATGCTCTTTTTTGAACATTTTTTTTGTGGCACTGTTTTTAGGTTTAAAAGACAAAAACTTACACTGTAATCAGACAAAATGCTTACACTAAAATACACAAAGTATGATTTTGAAAATTTTGATAGCTGATAAATGCTAAACTTGCTTTACGACACTTTTTAATTCACTAACAGTACAGCTGATTTTTAAAGCTAAAAAAATGCTTTCAATTTCGTCAAATAACTTCTGGAATTTTATATTTGTTTTAGAGCTCTAAATGAAAAAAAGAGATGATTTCTTCTGTAATATTCTATTGTCTTCTGAAAAGCTGCATCAAGATAATTTGTTGTCCAAGTTGACTTTTATTTAAATATTCATAAATCATCTTAAAGCAACTACTTTTCTTTTTCGAAGATTACGATGCTGAACGAAAAATATGATTTTTTTATTGTATTCAACAACTTTTATGTCGCCAAACTTAAACAAGAGGTTTCATTGCGGAAACACAACTAACGTCTAATACGGTTACAGAAAAGAAGATCTGAAATCTGCAAAAAAAAAAATTGCAACAAAAATCTGCAAAAATTTGACAAAAAATTATTAAATTATGGTAACCTGCGTAAATTACTGTCGAACAGTTGTGAAAATGGTAATTCTAAATTGTTCGCATACATTTGTCTCAGTTCCGAAAAAGTTTCCAGGTGGTTTTTTGTAATTAAAAAAAGATTTAAATAAAGAATATGTCAATGTCTGCGAAGCAAACAAATCTTATATGACAGAACACAGAATTTAAAAGTTTTTAAATTCCAGTAAAATTCTCCAAGTCTGTTGATGTCTTTCTTCCAGCGTGAAACAGTTTTTGTCTTTTTTGCAATCAATGTTCATAAAAGCAATAATTTTCAAGTGAAGTGCATTTTAAAAACATCAGTACGAAATTACATGCACATTTTCAAACAAAAATTCTACGCTTTTGTCTTCACTAAGTGAATAAATAGAGTGCGACCAATGATTTCAGGTTACTCAGTATCTGATTTAAAATTCAATCATCTAGAAACATCTGTTTTAGAATTCATTCAAGCTGACAGTTTCTGATAACATTTTATCACCTTTGCTAATGACCCTACGTGAATGTTAAATTCTAGTTTTCAAATTTTGATGTTCACATTTCGTCTCTCAAAGAGACCCATATTACTGACCGATATTGATGTTCACTGTTAAGAACAGTTGAATCATCAAGCGAGTCCTGGAAAGATAAAAACGTATCTGTCCTCAAGTTTTATCGTTTTTTATTTCTTTTACTCCTGGTTATTTTTATGTACCAAAACACGAACAAAACTGTTCCCTTACATTAACCATACTTTTTGAAAAACATCTGTTTTGAAAAACAAAAGTTTTTTTTTGCATTTTAATATGTTATCTGTGCAAAAAAATTTTAAAATTACAAAACGAGATCCTTTCTAACAATGTTCGCTAGTCACGTGGAGAAACTTTGTTACTAGTGAAGAAGCAAAAATTAAGCTTTCAATTCCTATCATTTTCTTCTAATACTAAAAAAATTTTTCTTTCCTTCTTCCACCGATGAATGAAAGCTATTCTTGCTGTTTAAAGCGAGACATGTGTGAAATATAGAGCACAGAAAAATTAGTGTTCGGACAGACTTTTTAGTTCATGTTTTGCTGTAAATATCAAGAAAAAATTTACTCGTCTCAATTGCTGAGTGGTAGATAATAAGGTCACAGAGCTTAACAGTGCACTTCAATATGCTTAAAAAGCTTGGCGGTCATACAAAAAAACCATGAAACTATTGTAAACAATAGATGCTTTAGACAATTACGAATTCAAAGATGATAATAAACACAATTTTTGGTTTCATGCTGTTTTTGCGTTTACATTCATACGAAACAGCAAAAAAATATTTTTATCATTTTATTTACTACATTATTATCCAAAACAGTACTACAACTTGAGTGCAAACTTGACAATTGCATTTCTTTGGCAATGTGACGAAGGTAGAAAAATTCGAGACAAAAAGGTACTAGGCATTATAGTGTATCAAAAATTTGATGAACAATCAGTTTTTAATTGCCCTTGCTTTTTGATTCTACATAGTCTTTGAGAAAGAAGTAAGACGAAGCTCGTTTTTATTCTTTGAACTTCACTAATTCACTGCGTTACTGCGTTTTTTGTGCTGCTGTAATTGTCGTCATTAGCAAAAATTTCTATAAAGAATTGTTTAAAGAAATTTTTAAAAACAAACAACTTTATTCGCCGATTTTCTTCTTGTAAAAAAATTTTCAAACACCCTTTAGCATTTTCTCCAGTGACCATCATTGACTGTCAAAAAAAAATCAAAGAATTTAATTCAGACAATTTGTGATTATATCAATCAAAGTACCAGAAAATCAACAACGGGATCTTCCAGTATTGAGTACTTCCTTAAACCAAATCACAGAACAAAGATCAAATAATTCTTCAATTAGCAATAATAACCACAGCTGTAAATGTAATACTGTGCCACCATTTCGGAAGTGACCTGTTCAAAAATCATTAAAAATAAGCAGGCAAAATCTCCCAAACCGATGAAGCATCGAGGTTTTACAAACCGCCGTTATGTAAAAAAAAACATGCTTTGCGGTTGGCCGATAATTACTTTTTGAGAATCAAACCTCAATAAGAACAAATTTTTTACTTTTACAAAAAAAAACTTTTGGACTTTTTATTACGAAAATACTCTGTCTTTTACTTTTACTGTGTTGCAGTGCTTGCCGGTAATGACAATTGCCTATTTCTTTGATTAAGAACTTCACCACTTTCTTTTGGATAATGTTATAATATATAAGCGATTTAAAATTAAAATGTAACTGGAATATGGAAATAAAAGTATGACTGAAGTAATCAAATTTCGTTCCAATTTTTGTCCCACCAAAAAATAATTACCGGTAAGGCTTTTGATCGACTTCTTCAATATCAATATATGATGACCAGCTTTTAACCGCACCAGTGCAAACATCAAAAAAATTACACCATCTTGTCTGATCAGCCCTTTGTATATTTTCCTCAATATCGCTCAAGCGAAAATGTAAAAGTACAGCGCAATAGCGAGGTAATTTTTTACTCTTTTTCCCTTTAAGAAAGCTCCTTCTTTGTAAAGAAACTTTTTTTTCCTTCTTTGCGACCTCCGTACTGGATAATATAACATTCCTCAACAGCATCTTTTTTCTTCAGTACCTATTACGCAGTAAGACGCTAGCTCCGACCAATTGGAAACCAGTGATGAATACCACAAAGTAACATCAAATTTTGGCTTGTCTTGTTTTCTTTTTCTCGCAGATGACATGAATTGTTTTGAAAACTTAAATTGTTTTAGTTTTTGAATACCACCGTATCATATAACCAAAAGAAAAAAAGAATTGCAAATCCAGTTTTGCTTCTCAAATTCAACAAAAAAATTATTGGCTTTGGTAACCACTAGCCAACTAATTCACCGTCTGCACTTCCAACTTTCCAAACAATACTAAAATTTAAAATCTGACAATAGACGAGCAGATAAAGAAAAAAGAACGAACTTATCTTTACGATTAAAAATTCCTAAACTCATGTCATCAAACATACCAACACCAAAAATTTTTTGGCAGCATTTTACCTCTACAAACTCTTACAGACACTGATCACTTGTCGTATTCTAAAGACTTCTAACGTACCTGAGTGATAAAATGCCGATGATCATCATGACAATACATACCCCCTCAAATTCCTAAAGTTTAAACATCGAAAATGACTCAAAAAGGCCTTATGTGAAAAAAATGCATGATGGTAGTGGAAACAAGAAAAAAGTACCACACAGAAATGAATGGAATGCCCTGCACAACACATCCTGTGAGTTATTTCAAATGTCTCAGCTCTCCGACTGCTGTCAAATCTTGTTGATTATCAACTTAGTTCTTGGTCCTAAAAACACCAAGTTCTTGGTGCAGTGATGTACAGCAAGCATGAGATCTCGTCGGTATACAAATACCAAATCAGAGGTTCTTAAACTAATTTCAAATTGCGACTGCAATAAAATTTCAAAAAATTTGTACGGAATTCATCCAATTAAGACGCGGAAATTCATCGAAGTAGGCAAGTTTGTAAATTTTGACTCTTTGAACAGTAAAAAAATCCTGCAAAATCTGACAGTAATGGTGATATTCAAAAATTAATACAGGAAATATGACTTCTTTAGTTATTCCAAAAAATTTTTTTATCTTTCAGATTTCGCACCAGTTCGACGCAAACTCCTGCTCAAACTGTGAGTTCCGTTCTAGCACAACTGAAAAATTTTTTGATTATCAGACACGTCAACCAAAATTTCAAGATACAAGCCAGCTCGTTATTTTCATTCACTTTAGCAGATGGAAACCAAATGTGGAATACTAAGCTGTTTGAATTTATCGTTCTTGATTACACCCTAAAATGTGAACAAGCTCCGCCACTCAAAAATTAAAATCAATAAGGTAGCGAACTGGCAACGCATTATAATTCTACAATAATCGGTTTTTTCTGTATTGCATAATAAAC